CATCTAAAATAAATTAATAATTAATTAATTAATATTTTACATCTAAAAAATTGTGCATTTGGGAGATAATGTGTGTGAGAACAAAAGTTTGGTGCATACTCAATTGGATGTTATGTCTCCACAAAGTCTTCTTTATTTCTTTAGTCTTATCAATGAAACAGTTGGTTTTCCATCTCCTACTGAAAGCTACACTTTCTATAACAACTTGAAATATGTAATAGCTACCAGTGGACAGCTTTAGCAGTTGTTCAAGTGACTAAAATTTTATCATTTACTTTCTCTATCCTCTAATCTCTTCCAAGTGACAAGGCAAACTTCTTGTGGTATTCATGGTAGTGTTCTGATCACACTACTATTCTCCAAAGTCTTCAGTGGCTCTCAAATGTATTAGAAACTAAATGAAGATTTGGAATAGTAGACTTAAAGAACTTCTTATGAATTGACTTTTTTTTTTAATCACACAAGTCTTTAATTTTCCTTTTATGTGGTGTTTCTGCCACAGACAGGAGAGACTCCCTGCTTTCTTCTAAATAAGACTTAAAACCTCTAGAGTTTGAGGATATGCTTGCTCTGTTAGTTCATGCTTGTAAGAGCTCTCTCTAGGGTTATGAATTTTCTCAAATGATGTAAGTTGAATAGTTCAAATGGACTCATTCAAGCCACCTCTTCACAAACTAAAAGTGCAGTGGAATCAAGGTTCAGAGAAGGTGACTTGAGGATCCTGCCTAATCAGCAAGTAGCTCTGAAATGAAAACCCATTTTTTTGTTTATTTATTTATTTTTTAAAATTCTTTCAAGCTTTCATTTATTACTTAATTCTTATCTTCCCTTTAAGCCTCTTCATGCAAGATACAGAATATAGAGAACATAGGGGAAAACAGTAAAATAATAGCTAACACTTGATGAATGCTTCATATATATCAGGCTTCTTTACATACTTTATCACAAATCTTTTTATTTTATTTTATTTTATTATTTATTTTATTTTATATTTTATTTATTCATGAGAGACACAGAGAGAGAGTGAGGCAGAGACACAGGCAGAGGGAGAAGGAGTCTCCATGTGGGGAGTCTGATGTGGGACTCGATCGTGGGACTCCAGGATCGTGCCCTGGGCCGAAGGCAGGCGGTAAACCGCTGAGCTACCCAGGCATCCCACTCTATCACAAATCTTGACAATAATTTTACAAGGCAAAGGTGGATACACTTATTTTATTGTTTTAAACATTTTATTTATTAAAAAAATAAAAATAAAATAAAAATTAAAAAAAGATTTTATTTATTTATTCATAAGAGATACAGAGAGAGAGGCAGAGACACGAGCTGGCTTTCTGAGGGAGCCCGATGCAGGACTCGATCCCGGACCCCAGGATCCATTTCCTGAGCCACAGGTGTCCCCGGATACACTTATTTTAAAGATGTAAACTTGGCTGAGAGAAGATTAGTAATGGCAAAGGTCCTGCAAATATCAAATAACAGAAAAAGTTTGCAACTCATTATTAGGTACCATTGTACCTTGTGGGGAGAATGGAAGGAGATTACAGGGGGATAAGTGTAAAAAAATCCGAGAGCTTTCCATGAACTCTGTTAGGAAAAATTGGAAAAGTAATGGATTAAGGTGTAAAAGTGAAGGAGTGCATTTTGGGGGTGAATTTTCCTGGCTAATTGAGTCAACTTTACTTTGAATTTGGAACCATTTGAATTTTTTCAAAAAAACTAGTAAGTGATGGTAGATAGGGGGCCTGAAAGTCTTTTCTGCTTTTATTTTCTCACAGGTTTACCCTGAATATTATGGGTTATCATATTGGGTGGGGGATATTTTGGTGTGACTGACATTTTAATTGGATCTAAAATGGAATTGTAGCCTTGGGATCTGAGTTTGTGAAACACATGGCCCAATAACAAAATATACTGATTTGAATAGTTGATCCAGTTGGCAGTTTTCCATTATGAGAACCTGGATGAGTAACATCTACGGATGATTTCTAAGTCTTAAGCATTAGTTATCTTTCATCCAAATTGCCACAATATCTATGAAAGCTACTAAAAGGAAACATTTGAGATCGGTTAAAGATTTACTTCGTCTTCCTTCCAGATCACTCCTGTTTGTCTCATGAATAACTGGAAGGAGACAGATATGGAAAGGGTCTTTACAACCTATACATTGACCAACCAGCCTTTGAAATAACTAAAAATTACATAGTTTTGAAGAACTTATTTATTTATTTGAGAGGGAGAAAAAGGGAGAGCACAGCCCAAGCTGGGTGAGGGGCAGAGGGCAAGGGAGAAGTAGGCTCCCCGCTGAGCAGAAAGGCCCATGCAGGGCTCTATCACAGAACTCTGGGATCATGACCTGAGCCAGAGGCAGAAACTTAACTGATTAAGCCACCCAGTCACCCCTAGAAATTACTTTAATATGGTAAAAATAAAGGTTACAACTTACCTGTGATATATGTAACCTATTTGCTAATAATAGTCTTTATTTAGAGTTTTATTATTCTGTTCGCAATACCTAAACATCAACCTTAACACTGGTTTAGAGCATAAGAACCCATATGGCCTTATCCTTTCTGGACTATAGCACATTTTTTAGTTTCCTGAGTTTCACTAATCTGAGTCATGTATCACATATTCTTAGCTCAAAAATTCAACTTGAAATGAAAAATGGAAATTTGTGTGTGTATATATATATATAAAAACAGGAAGCTAAGACAAATATTCCTAAAGTTTGTATGAGTCAGAAAATCATATTGCTATATGTTCGGGATCACAAACTGAGATAGGATGCCTATATATTGAAAGATTATATTTTTATAAAGTTGAGAAATAGTATGAAGTAATTATGAAAATATATGTCAAGTAATAAGGCAAGCAGTTTTTATCCTGGATATAAGACTATTTCTTTGAGTCTTGGAACTGAAAGACCATCTGGAAATAGAGTTGACTTAAGTGGAGGATGGAGATTGGAGCTGCGGCGGGGAAATAAAACAGCACCACATGCTTTCTTGGTCCCTTCTCTGCCAATAAATATTAATTTGTCTCTTCCATTGACCTCCCTCATTGTCATTCTCAATTTAACTTTTTAAATATTCTAAATTTGGAAGATAAATCTTAGAAAAATTTGACCTCTTGCACTGATGTAATTTCCATATTCAGTTCCTGTGAACCTGAGAGCCCTCCTTTATTTCTCCTTGTCAGGGATAAGACTTGCGAAAGCTGTAAATACATGCTTATTACCAGCCTAAGATTTACACAGATAGGAAATCATAAGTAGATAGAGTTGCTGTATAGTTCAGCTTTGTCTGAATTAGAAATAAATCATGTTTGTATAATCTAGTCTTAGCTAGTTCTATTTATTCAGCCAAGTTATTTCCTGCACAGAATCTGCCTTTGCCTGGCAGTTGGAATCTTTTTTTTTTTTTTTTTTTTTTTTTTTTGCTTCAAATTGCTTCTCATTACATTTATTTTGAAGTGCCACCACATGCAGCTTGTGGTTGATTTACTTTCGGTCCAGCTAATTTCATCCACAGTGCTCATCTTAAGTAAGCAGGTTCTTCCAGATTTGCTGATTTCCTAATCATTCTTTCTGTAATAAATCATATAGTGTCATTAGACTTTACAGGATTTATTTCCTCACCTTTATAGAAATAATTTGTTATTAAATATGATTTGATGGAAACAGAACTATATTGTATATTGAGGCACCTTGCTTATTTTCATTGTGTCTCTGGTCCACCCACCCAAATGACTTCACCTGTCATGTCTGCCTCATTGGCAAAATGAAGGAGTAGGATTGTATCAGTTGTTCTCAATTCTGAGTGCTTATTAGAAGCATCTGGGGAACTCCAAAAATACAACTGTCTGGCCATACTAGATGAGCTAAGTCAGATTCCCCTGAGATAAGACCTAGGCATTGGCATTTTATCAAAAGCTCAACCAGACACCACTGGATGAATGATTTTCATGGGTCTTTCTAACTTTATGATTTCCTTATTCTGATATAAATGACTTGGACTCCTTCTCTTACCTTATCTTTACAGATAGTACAGGAAGAGGAGGGCTTGCTTGATTTGAGTCACAGTTATGGATATGCCATCATGTGACGTTTTAACCTCACTGCGTTGTGAAAAGTGAGTAACGAATTTGTGTCCTGAATCTCTTAAGATTTTTTTCTTTTTTAAGATTTTATTTATTTGTTCATGAGAGACACACAGAGAGAGGCAGAGACATAGACAGAGGGAGAAGCAGGCTCCTCACAGGGAGCCCCATGTGGGTGGGACGCACTCCCCGGGCCCCAGGATCAGGCCATGAGCTGAAGGCAGACGCTCAACTGCTAAGCCACCAATGTGTCCCTCTTAAGATTTTCTAAAGAGTTAATTTTTATTTCCACAATTTAAAATAAAAAATTTTTATTTTCACCACTATATACTAAATGCTAACTGAAAGATTAAGATGCCTTCCATGGTATCTATACTCAGGGGGACAGTCCAGAAAACCAGGGATTTGGAGAGGTATGCCTGAGGTGCAATGGAAGCCAAGAAAACACTGCCTGTCCCAGACGGAGATAGAAGAATTTTTTTGAATCCTGTGTTGGCACTGTGAGTACAAATGTCTAGAGGAAAAGGGAGTGGATGCTGGAGGATGGGGTGATGGGGAAGATGTGCTGCCCTTTGAGAAGTGCAAAGAGTTCAATCTAATGTGGACAGCTTGAGATGAGAAAGATGGAAAGGTTATAGGGGGAGCATATTATGAAGATCTTATTTGAACTTTATCCATATAATTATCTCTACTTGCTTCCCTAGGAATCACTCAACCTCTCTCCACCACTGTGGCATTAATTAGATGTTTTCAGAGATTTATACTATTATATTTAAATAAAACAATAAACTCCTTGGAGAAGAAAATAATTCAAAGTATGTTTATAGGAAATTTCTGGTTTGGTAGGTACATTTATTCATGTTGTAAGATTTTTAAAGTTCTTTTTTTTTTTTTAAATTTCATGTCAGACAGGTAATGTGCCATGGTCATGACAAGGTTTCAGGGAGGCACATGTCACACAACGGCATGAGCCCCCAATCATCACGCTCATGAACTACAAAAGGATCCTCTTATTCTTCTTTGACTCAATATCATTATTTTATATTAGATTTTATTTCCTTATCTTACTATAATTCCTTAGTTCTTATTCTAGTAATTATTTGGCTAAATAATAAATTGTTTTTCTTCATAGACATCCTTCTTATAGTAGAACAAGTGTGCTTTCCTACTCAAATATACTTCAACCTAAACTAATAACTCTTAATCAGGATGTCTGCCTTCTTCATCACCCTGTAAATTAATTTTCTCCTCTTTCTCCTATTCTCTTCTTTAACTGGAAAAGATAGGTCTTCTACAAAACTGTCCATCGCTTTTTTTTTTTTTGTCCATCAGTTTTTAAGCTCATATTGATTTCTGCTTCCCCTAGAATTGGTGGTACTTGATTTTTAAAAAAAATTGAAATCAAAGTACTCCAAATTATTTTGTATTATTTTCTATTTTATTAATTTTTGCTATCTACATGATAGCAATATAAATAATGATTAGAATATTGAGCCACATTAGCCAAGAAAGCCCTAGAGAAATAAAGAGACTCATGTCACTAGCTATTTTTTTTGTCACTAGCTATTATAATGTGTCACAATGGTCAATAAATAAAATTATATGAGACTGGTATTAGAAATGACTTGTAGACCAGTAAAATGGAACTAACAGTCCATGAACATGTCTAAGCATATTTAATGATAATTCAAATTTAGTGTGGATCAATGAACTGGTACCTAAAAGGCCTTTGACAAATCCTATACTTGGGTCTTAAAAATTCTGACAAATCCAACATTTCTTTTTAAGGAAAAAGAAAGAAAGAAAAAGAAAACAAATATCTTAATAAGAAACGCAAGCCATCAGTGTGATAGGAAAAGATACAACTTCTTGGACATTAAAATTTTATATGCATGTGTATACACAACATATTAAAGCCAGCATCATTTTTAATGGAAGCTTTTTAAGTTTTTGTCATGACAGATGAATTCTCATCACTACTAGTATTCCCAGTTTAGAAGTACTAATATAATTAGACATGAGAAAGTACTGAGAGGTATGGATATTTAAAAGAAGGTGACACAACAATCATTATTGGCAGATGATGGTAGATTAAGAGAAATAAGTAAGAGAATATCATTATGAACAATGAGATAGATTAGTAAAGTACTTGATTTCACACACAAAAATACATCCAATTCAATCATTTTCCAATATATATAGAATAATTGGTTGGATAATGTGGTAGTGGGAAATTAGCAATTGTAGTAGCAACCAAAGAAGAAAATACTTAGAAATGAAGCTGAGTGGGCAGCCCCAGTGGCTCAGAGGTTTAGTGCCACCTTCAGCCCAGGGCATGATCCTGGAGACACAGGATCGAGTCCCACTCGGGCTTCATGCATGGAGCCTGCTTCTCCCTCTGCCTGTGTCTCTGCCTCTCTCTCTGTCTCTCATGAATAAATAAATAAAATTTATATAAAAGAAAAAGAAATGAAGCTGAAAACAAAATTGTAGAAAGTTGTTGAAGAAAAGTTAATACTCTTGAGAGATTTAGCAGAAAAAGATTGGAAGAAATACTCAAACTGCTGGAGTTGGGCAAGACATGATATCCCCAAAGAACATTTTCAAAATAAGACGGTTGCTCAACTATCTTCTAAGGAGGGTGATTTTTGGTAACTGGAGGGCCCTTTGAACATCAAGACAAGTTTGAGGAATCAAATTGAGATGGACTGGCTTGCAATCAAGTTTGCAAGCCACTCCCTATTTCAGCCCCAAATAGAGCTGATAATGAATAAGCACAGACATGTCCACTAGGGATTTTTCTCTAAGGTGTGTTTTGTAGAACCTGTTTTCCATCTAACCTATGAAAACTCTATAGTTATGTTCAGTAAGGTCTTTGGATGAAAAGATGTTTTTTTAGAATAGAAGAGAGATGCTGAGCTCATGTATCCTGGTAGTCTGAGGCACAGATCAAATACAAAGACAGCTATTTGGACATTGTCTCATTCCCCCACCACCACCTCCCCCACCCAATTAGGGGACATCCGAAATCTGGGTTACCATGAGAAAATATTTGCAATATTTTTGGCAAAGTTCTAATAACCTATATAATAATGGTCTTCCAATTCAGTTAGGCTAGGAAGAGACAAATCATAAAAGGGCAAAGGCAATTCAAATAGTAAAAGACACAAGTAGTCAGGGCACCTGGGTGACTCAGTCAGTTAAACATCTGCCTTCGGGTCAGGTTATTATCCCAAGGTCCTGGGATGGAACCCTGGCATCAGGTTCCTTGCTCAGCAGGGAGTCTGCTTCTCCCTCTACCCCTCCCCCCTGCTTGTGATTTTTCTCTCTCTCATCTCTCTCTCTCAAATAAATAAAATCTTAAAAAAAAAGATACAAGTGGTCAATAAGCATATAAATAGCATACAACTTTATAAAGTAGAGCACATTGAGAGTAATGGAAATGCAAATTATCACCTATCAGACTGGAAACACATATATATATATTTCATTTATCTGAAGATGATTTCCAAATGATGGCAAACTTGTGGGAGAAAGAGTTGTCATCTATTGATGGTGGGATATGAACTGGCACTCTTCTTCTACAGGGTAACTTAGAATTTTATTTATTTAAAACCTAATATGGATGGATGGATAGATAGATAGATAAACATTACCTTTGACCTATCAATCACAATTCTGAGAATTTACCCTAAAAATTAATCAGACCTATACAGAAAAATATGTGTGGAAGGATGTTCATTGTAGAATTTCTAATAAAAGTCAGAAACAATTAAATCAACCATAGAGTATTTGCTAAATAACTTATGGTATAACTACATTACCACATTAAAGAATACTATGCATCCATTAACGATGATATAGTAGATAATTACTTATTGACCTGGTGAGATATTTATAATCTTTTGTTAAGTATTAAAGGCAAATTTGTACAACTAAATATTATTTATGATATCATTTGGCTAAGAAAGCTTAGCCTCTATATGTCTGTATCAGAATCCATATGTATGAATGTGTCTACAAAGACACAAACATATTCTAAGTATTTACATGTTTAGGAAGTGAAATTTTGAGTCATCTTAATGATTTCTATGCTTCTTTCATATGAAATAAAAATAATTAACTTGTATGATGATGACAAAGAAAGATTCATGGCCCCATCAGATCTTTTAATATTTTTACTATTTCCCAAAAAATATTTGTTTTATGTTCTTACTTTACTCTAGTTTGTAACTTTATTTAAAAACATTTTTTTAAAGATTTTATTTATTTATGAGAGAGAGAGAACCAGCATGAGAAGCAGAGGGAGAAGCAGATGCCCCGCTGAGCAGGGAGCCCGATGTGGGGCTCGATCCCAGGCCTCTGGGATGATGACCTGAGCTGAAGGCAGGCCCTCAACCTACTGAGCCACTCAGGTGCCCCTAGTTTGTAACTTTAAACTCTCTTCACTTAAAATAAAGCAATAGCTTCTTTCTCCCTCAGGGATCTTCACCACTCCCTGTACTTTTTTGGCAGAGAAGAGCTGGCAGGAGGGCGTGTCAAGTGTCTTCTGGTGTTTAGAGGTAAGAACATTACTATTTGGCATCTATTCCAATACAGTCGCCCTAAGCAATTCTGCTGAACCAAGAACATTGCCAGTATGTGTATGTGTTTAAGATTCCAAGAAGTGAGCTATTAAAACAATAAAAGAAGTGCTGGATGACAGCTTCTGGGAATATGTGTGTATGCACTTTCAGAGAGAATACCTGAAACCAAGCCAATGCACAGACTACATGGACCATTGGACCATTTTTCTTGCTACTCTTCCATATATTTTATAAGCCATACTAGTGTTTGTAGATACTCTTGCATTTAAACCCACATAAGACACTTTTAAAAAAAGTATTTATTTATTTATTTTAGAGAGTTGGGAAGGTGATAGAAAGGGAAAGAGTGAATCTTGAGCAGACTCCCTGCTGAGCAGGGAGCTAGACAAGGGGCCCAATCCTATAACCCTGGAATCATGACATGAGCTGAATTCAAGAGTTGGATACTTAATCAACTGTGCCACCCAGGCACCTCTCAAGTAAGATACTTTTTTTAAAAGATACTTTTAAGATACCTTCTTGAGGTGCTTGTTGAAAAGACAGAATAAATGTTTTTGGGAGCATGGAGAGTGAAAAAGGCAAAGAACTTGGGTCATTTAGGCCAGCTCTTAGCCATTTAATTAGATGCTTTAAATGTGAGCATATTTTTTAACCAACAAAGAAATTACAGGGTAGCCTAGAAAGAGAAATCACTCAAACCTTAAATGTAGGAGACAGAGAAGAGGGAAGAATCTTATCAGTGAAATATCTCAGCAGCATAGTGTATAGTAGATTTTCCACTATAAAAGGATGTACCTTGCAATAAATTTCTGTTCTCCCATGGATGCAAACTTGTGCAGATGATGGAATAAGGGTATGTTTATTCCAATATGTGTTCCTTTGAATCAGGCTGTTTTTGGTAACATTAACCCTAAAGTGCTAATGAGCCTCATTACTTTCTGTATTTGCTAGTAAATTACTGGGCAAAAATTTATTCTTTTAAAAAGTCTAGGGGCACCTGGGTGGCTCAATTGGTTAAGCATCTGACTCTTGATTTCAGTTCAGGTCATGATCTCAAGGTTGTGGGATCAAGCCCTGCATCGGGCACCCCACTCAGTGGGAAGTCTGCCTGAGATTCTCTCTCCCTCTGCCCACTACCTCCCCTCCCCGACTCTCTCTAAAATAAAATCTTTAAGAAAAAAAGTCTAAAGAAAGTTAGCTAATAAACTACTTGAGTAGGCCCAGCAGATCAAATAATTTGCCACATTGACTGGTTACTAGGTTCAGAATAAGAATTCCAGGGAGGGGGATGCCTGGGTGGCTCAGAGATTGAGCATCTGCCTTTGGCTCAGGGCGTGATCCTAGGGTCCTGGGATTGAGTCCCACAATGGGCTTCCTGCATGGAGCCTGCTTCTTCCTCTGCCTATGTCTCTGCCTCTCT